GACCCCTCCTGCTGCTGTCGCCGGGCAGGAGGAAGGTGCGGAGGGAAGAAGAAGGAGAAGGAAACAGAGAGAAGAGAACGGGCAGTGAGAAGCAAGAGTGCAGCGATGGGAATCATCGAGCGGGGGGGGGGGCGCCGAGCAGACGTTTAAAGCAGGAAATCGAATTCAAGCAATTTACCTCCCTGATGATGTAGGTCAGCCAAGGTCAAATTCTTGGTTGTTCAAAATAAATGGCTTACAGGGGTACAGAAAGTCTATTGTAGACGCATTTGTCGATCACGTGTTAGTACGCGGGGAAGGTCAAGATGACCAGCCATGCAATTTGCATCAAAAGAAGGAAACAAAGGAAAAGGTAAAAAGTTTTTTTCCCTCACACAAGTGTGTCAATCAAACGCACTGGGGCTCACCTCTTGATGGTCTGCGTGATGGACGACTGGCGCTGCAAGACCGGCCGCCGGCTGTCAAAAAAGTCTCGGGGTGGCGATTGCATGTGAGACGTTTCCACCGGCATGCTGATGCTGCGCAGGAAGCCCTGCCTCTTTATCGGCTGCAGGGTTGTAAAATCAAAGGTCAAAGGTCGGAGCTCTATTTGCATTGATTTATGTTTTCTTGACAAAACTCTTGGGTCAATTTCAAAAACAAATATTGTAAATTATTGGAAAGGCAATGCTGAAAATAGGTTGGGAATAAAAAATGTAAAAAAAAAAAAAAAATCGAAATTTTTTTTATACCTATTTTAAGATCAATTATACTCATATTCACACACACACACACACACACACACACACACACACACACACGTTTAATACCACATCAGTGAGATAAAAAATATTTCAATCGTGAGAAAGTTGAATTTAAAAAAAAAAAAAGACAACAAAAGTCAAACAAACCCTGTTGTCATAATAAAAAAAAAAAAATAATACTGTAAGACATTTTTAATCATACTAACATTATACATCATGCGTAATGTAAATAACATGAAAGAATATTTTGGTTAAAGCAATAATCATTAAAACGTTTCAATTCACTACGTCTATTAATTAGACAACAACAAGCAATGTATTTGTCAGGTTAAATGATTATTAGGATTCGTAGTCAATCATAATCATTATAGTCCTTTAAAAGCAAATTTGGGGACGGGGAAACTTGAAAGCAAAAGTGGAAATGTCAAATGAAAGATCTCTTTGTATTTCCTTTCATGTGTTTGATGCCCTCTATAAAGTCAAATCTAATGTTAATTTTACGAAAGCTTCATTATTATGAATATTTTTACTGTCATCATCACAGTTGTTATGATTAGAGGTCAGTGGGACAAAAATACGTTCAATGTGATGGCCAAGTGTAAGACTATTTAATCACATTTCAACATTGATGATGGTTATTATTATTATTATTATTATTATTATCATCATTATTAAGGGTCCCAGGACTCACCTGAACAAAACTGGGCGGCTCGTCCAGCGACATCTGAGCGGTGGGAATGTCTAATCGCAGCCATGGAGGCTTCTTCCTCTGCAGACTGCTGGTGCTCTCCCGCCGCGCTTCTGCCATGTTGTGTGTCCCCACCACGGGCCTGCCAGCTATACACACACACACACACACACACACACACACACGCACACGCAGGAGGGAGAGGAGAACAACTTTAAAGTGCCAGTGCAAACATCAAAACTCAGAGGGCCAAAGGAAATGACTTGCAGTACAGATTGACTCCACTGGAAGGCGCTGTTGACACTACGGACGATTTTAACCAGCAGGGGAACGAGAAGGAACTTTTGCCGGAACATTGCGTGTCAGTACCTAAATTTAGTCCCTGGGAATCTTCTTGGGGAGAAATAGTATGTGGACACAATTCCATTCCACCCACATGAAGTGGAAATAGAAGAAACACAGCATTGCGCCCACCTTTTGCAACATCTTCCACTTCCACGCTAACCAAAAATTGGACCTTGTCCAGAGCCCTAACAAGTGTGAGTGCACATTCACTCCCCTTTAGGCCTGATGACAACGGGAGGTGCGCAATAAAAAGCTCATCGCCCCACAGCCGGGCCTTTTTTACTGCATGTTTCACTTCCTGTCCTCTAACTGTGCAACAAAAATAGCACTCCTCAACAATCCAAAGAGTGGAGAAAACGCTTCTTGGTGTTATTTCGGTTTGAGATGGAAATATCATCACACTAATTGCGGGTAGGTCTTGCACAAAAACGGCCTGAGCCAAGATTTAAAGGCAGGACCTCTTGAGTGTGGGGATGATGTGCAAACTTACTATTCCACCTCTTCAAAATTCAATCGAATAATCTACAATGTATATAAAAAGACCACACACACGCCTGTTCAGATGCTAGATTTTTGTGAAAAATGAGACCAAATCATTTCAAAACTTTTTCAACCATTAAGGAGCCCTATAACAACCCAGCCGCTGGGGGGCAGTGCCCTCCCCTGGGGGTGCACTGTTCCCCAGTGCCGGTCCCAAGCCCGGAGAAATGGGGAGGGTTGCGTCAGGAATGGCATCCGGCGTAAAACTTTTGCCAAGACGACCATGCGAGTTGGTAGGACGGTTTACAGGGGCGGATGGAAATTACTGACTCGCTGTGGCGACCCCTGAATAGGGACGTGCCGAAAGGAGAAGAAGAAGAAGAAGAAGAT